TCAACACAAGCCAAAACCCATCATGCGACATATCAAACTTCATGATCTAACAAACTTTGGCCAGTAATGGCCTTATTGAGAGTCCATGGTCACACTAGCCCTCCCAGACATGTTCTGGGGTCCCGGGGAAGTGGCCAATTCTCAACAAGAACCAAAACCCATCATAGCCCTTCCAGACATGTTCCGGTGCCCCGGGGAAGTGGCCAATTCTCTCAACAAGAACAAAAACCCATCGTGCGACATATCAAAATTTATGATTTTACATATCTTGGCCGGTAATGGCCTTAATAACTCGACGGTCACACTAGCCCTCCCGGGCATGTTCCGGTGTCCCCGGGCAAGTGGCCGATTCTCCACAAGAACCAAAACACGTCATGCGACATATCAAACTTTATGATTCTGCTGAACTCGGCCAGTAATGGCCTTATTGAGAGCCCACAAACCCATTGGCCCTCCCTGGCATGTTCCGGTGTCCCCGGGTATATTTTCAATTATCGACAAGAACCAAAATCCGTCGTGCAACATATCAAACTTTATGATTTTGCACGGCCAGTAATGGTCTTAGACAGTCCACAGTCCCCTTAAATTGGCCCTTCCAGACATGTTCCACTGCCCCCAGATATGCCCCTTCCCCCCGGGTAAATATCCAACTCCCAATAAGAACCAGAACCCCTCGTGTGACATAGCAAACTTCATTATTTTACGAAACTCCGTCCGTAATGACCATATTAAGAGTTCAAATTTGCTAATCCAGACACGATCCGATATTCCCAGGAATGCTGTTACACCTAAAGTAAATTATCGAAATTTATGTTTCTTACATGTAGCTTTAAGACATACGTGACACAATGATTTTACCTTTTCATCATTGGAACGAGAGCAAAACGAACACCTCTTTCGTCCAGAACCACATTTATAGTCTTGATGCAAAGATTTCGGTTGATGTAGATGAAGGATTTTTTTTAAGTACTTTTGGTTTTTACCTATACCTATTTATTATATTTTAGTTCTACCCAAGTGACACCTTCAAGTGACTAAAATGCTTCATTTTGAAGTTAGTTTCCTAGCTGATTTTTAAATTATATAGGGTATATGCTCTAACTATGCTCACACGCTTCCACTATATCGCACCACAAAAATACGCCACAGTGGAAATCCCGAGCCTTAGTTCAAACACTTATCCCAAATCAAAATGAAGCACAAACACTTATCCCAAATCAAAATGAAGCACATATATGATTAGTTACAATACCATGTACAAAAATGATGTTTCACATTGTTCCCTGAGCAATGCCTCAATGAAAACAACAATAAAAGCTTTTCACGCAAGTAGAAGGAGCACTGTTGGGCACTTTCTGAAATATTTTAATAGTATAATTCCCTTGCAAACCCAAATAAATCTATCTGCGTAAAAAAATAAGAGTGATTTGCGGAAAAACCCGCCAATATCGCACCCAACGTCACTGCCTATACGTAAGCGTACTACAACGCGGCTCTCAAACAAAGGAGTAACAAGTGTGATACTATCACTTCAGGCTAGAACTTTGGTTCTCTCATGCAATGGTTCATCAGAGAGGGAAAGCTCAGTAATCCTCATCGTATGCTCATGACGCCACTCCGCCACGGCATGAGCCAACGATGCCGGACCTAAACCAACCGTCTCCAACGCTCCACTATGAAGCATTATATTAGGCCCGCCCACCAACGTCCAGGTTAAAAACTAGCCAAGGGGTTGTTAGAGGTATCGCAAATTAATCGAATACCATACCCAATCTATTATTTTAAAATGCAATTGACAACAGAATTTAAAGATTAAACAGACAAATCTGGAATTTATTAAAACTAAATCCAAAATATATCATATTTTGCACTTTGAAAATAATCGAAGAATATTTACAAATCTCCAAAGACAAGACTAAAAGATCTCAAAACAAATGGTTCATTCAGGTACTTGTTTTCCTTTCTTTAGTCTGACACGTCTCATGTTAAAATGTATTGAAAACTTTCTTATTTCCAAAAATTTAAAATTATTTGTAAGTCTGTCAAATGTCAAATGATCCAAAATCTCGTCTTGCGATGTGAAGTTCAAGGATTTTATGAATTCCTGGTATCTTTCATAAACAATTCCGATCACTCGATATTTGACTCTTCATGTCTTATTCTATTTTTTACCAGTTTAAAACAGTTTATAAGCTTAAACGTTGAACACGAAAAAAAATGTGGACACATTTAAAATGTTGCCATAACATGCACTTTTTGAGATTTTTTTTTCAAGCTTTTTTTAATCAAGCTAAGAGTGAATAGAATCACAGTAGACATTGGTTGTCAGGATAAGTTCATTTGTTTTCGTCCTGCGCGCTAAAAACGAAAATCCCGGTCTATCCGCTCCTGGCAGTTTCCGATCAAATTCCTGGGCAGAAAGCAGCCAAACACTTAAAATGGGAGCAAGGATCGTACAGATACGAAATCGATGCCTACCTTTTTTGGATGACTGACAAATCAATTTGCATGATTCTATTTCTGAAAGTTTTCTGATAATGTTTAAGTCACATTTCGGTAACTTTTTAAAATGATTTTGGTCACTTTTTAGTCACTTTTTTAAATGATTTTAGTCACTAGTTCACTATTTTTATTGCTTAACACTGCTATCAGCCCTGAAGAATGTTGTCCATTGTTTTGCAATATTATTTTTGTTAAGCTTGTTTTATAAGCAAGTTTAAGAGAAGTGGAATAATTCTAAAAAAGTTCTTGAGCTCCTGGTTAGAACTCCCTAGAATGTTTGCCGGAATTTTGTGGTAACTTTTTTACGTATTTCTCTAGCATTAACACTTTAATTCCTTTTAAATTCTTCTAACAATTCAATTGTTTTTCTTCTAAGATTTATATAGAGTTTCTTTTTAAATTGTTGGAGCCATGAAAATTTGTCCAACAAGCCGGCCATAACATCTTTCCGAGACCAAAATTCAAAGGGACGTATCAGCATTTGTAAACAATGCATTTGTGATCGTCACACCGTAACACCACTATCAGATAGGGGAAATTTTCCCCTATCTACTTCTTCTTCGCATTTCAAGCTTATTGCATATCGCATATTAGCTTATTGCGTGCTGTCAACTTAGTGTTCTAGATGCACTTCCACAGTTAATAATTGAGAGCTTTCGATGCCTGTACCATTTTTGCATTGGTATAATTGTGTGGCAAGTCCAATCATACTTTTATGCCCAGGGAAGTCGAGAAAATTTCCAACCCGAAAAATTCCTAGACCGGACCGGGAATTGAACCCAGCCACCTACAGCATGGTCTTGCTTTGTAGCTGCGCCTTTATCGACTGAGCTAAGAGAGGCCCCATTTCCCCTATCTAATGGTAGTGTTAACATCCGTGAGCGAGCTACCACTTACGTCAAATCGACGATCAAATGCATTGTTTACAAAAGCTGATACGTCCCTTCGAATAAGTAATCGAGACTTAGAGTTTTATTCTTAGTCCCATATTTATAGCAAAAAAAATATTTTTTCTTCTCCTAAATCTAAAATAGGCTAATGTTCCTTACAAATGTCGAAGCCTTCAGAATTTTGAAAAATTTTCTTAATACCATTTTTGAAGATTTCTGTTAGCTAGTGCCGTACCGTGACCTCACTTTTTACCTGTGCACCAACTTTCAAAACCAGATTTAAGCCATATTCATACTCGAATCGGTTGAAAAATACACTTAAGCTTCTAGTTTACTCGATATCTATCCATTGCAATCAATAGTTTGATAATTGTTTATGTTTTGAGAGTTGGTGCACATGTAGATTGAGGTTAAGGAAACACCACTGCTGTTAGCACAAACTACTCTGGGATCGCTTACAAGATTTCTTTCGAAAAAAAAGTCATTTATCAAATGAAACTGGCAGAAATATGTTGGGCTGCCGGGATAAATCGAGAATTTAATTTCTCAAATCCGGTGGCCACTATTATACTAGATATTAAGTCCACTCAATTGTCTGTAAGCTAGGCCGGAGAAAATATGTCATTATTTGCATACTTATTTTTCCTCCCCTTCTCTCCCGGCTCCCACTGGCCATTGTCGACAGCCGTCGATACCTATATAGACCAGAGGCAGAGCGAAATCTTCCGTTGTAAATCAGTATTCTGAACCCGTCCGGTACTCACTCACCGTTCTATAAAGCACCGAAGTGCCCTGTGGTGTGTTTCGCCTGGCCTTAGAGATGGTCATGATTTAATTTTTATCCCAATGGTAGGATGCAATCCAAATTTGTACCGAAACCATTGTATCCGTCCCCAAAACGGCAACATCCACATTGCACCCAACTTATTGGAAGTGCAATTATCAATTCAACATCCCCATCATATTTACATTCAACACCCGGGCACATTCTTCACCAATTCACTGCATAGAGTGTCAACCAGCGATTTCCATTCAGGAACGCATAGCGCATAGCTCATTTTGCCGCATGTGAGAGATAAATACGTAAACGACGAGACAACGACGCGACGCCTGACGGACAACCGGCACACGTTATTTGATATTCCAAGCTTGACTAGCTTCTTCCTTTCGCTTGATTTGCGGCGAGCCTACGCAAATTACGTTCGGTGGACGGCCAAGCCCCAAACAAGGTCATCGGTGATTTCTTCGCTGCTCAATCGGGAAGCCAAAATCGGCAATAGTTCCCCTTATGGACTCCCGGTAATGTGATGTAACTGCGTTTTCAAAATTATCTGCTTCCTATTGCCAGTTTTTTTTTTTTGAGCTTTTCAACTGGCTTTTCTTACATTTGCGCGCCCACTCTCATTGATATTCTACATATGTGACCAATCAAACACTTTATTGCACAGTAAAAGTCAACGAACCGTTGGAAACAAGTGTTCCGAATTTCAGACGCTCTTTACGCAGAAACGAAAGCAAATATTTGTTGTTCGCCTTATCGTCCCACTTTGAATGAAATCGATGGGTTACATTACAATCGTCTTCTTGTTTTCTTATTTCTCATGACAGCTTGGGAAACTCACCAAGCAGACCGACCTAAGCGAGCGACAGATCGAACGGTGGTGGCGTCGGCGGAGAGCCCAGGACAAACCGACCACGCTGGTGAAATTCTGCGAAAACTCGTGGCGATGCATCTACTATACGTACAGTTTCATCTTCGGATGCATCGTGATGTGGGACAAACCGTGGCTGTGGGACATCAAGCAGTGCTGGTACGGTTACCCGCACCAATCGGTCACCAACGACATCTGGTGGTACTACATGATCTCGATGGCCTTCTACTGGTCGCTAACCGCATCGCAGTTTGTCGACATCAAGCGGAAGGACTTCTGGCAGATGTTTGTCCATCACATGATCACCATCGTACTGATAGCTCTGAGCTGGGTGTGCAATCTGCACCGGGTTGGTTCGCTGGTGCTCTTGGTGCACGATTGCGCTGATATTTTCTTGGAGGTGAGTAACCGTTATTGTAGCTTCTGCATTACATGATTGACCTCTATACCAATATTTTGTAGGCCGCCAAGATTACAAAATACGCACAGTACCAGAAGGTTTGCGATACCATCTTTGCCGTCTTCACGGTGGTGTGGATCGTCACTCGGCTGATGCTCTACCCGCGAATCATCTACAGCTCCTCGGTGGAAGCACCCAGTATATTGCCAATGTTCCCGGCATACTACATCTTCAACACCCTGCTGATTCTGCTGCTAGTGCTGCACATCGGCTGGACCTATCTAATCATTCAGATCGCCGTGAAGGCAATCAAATCGGGACAGGTGAGTCATGCGTTTTATATCCATGTTTTTCCTGTGTTAAAATATAGTTAACCGTTATGTGATCGACAAAAAAAAACACCTTTAGGAGCTCGACAAGGGTACCCGGGTACCCACAAATTGACCGTTTTTTAATCTTGACCGTTTTTTAATCGTTTGGCAGCATTGGATTCAGAAACTTATCCTCTTTCGGGACATTGCCAAAAATGTCCATCCGGAATAGTCTGGTTCCCGGAAATCCGGATTTCCTGTATAATGTTCCAGAACTAAGCATTTTCTTGCCACTTTCGCTAGAATTTCGAAGGAATCGATATCAAATTATCAGAATCTCCTTCAAGAAACAATTTCAGCTTACTTGAGGACCAGTTTAAGGATTCTGCCCGGAACGGCCATTCCGGCGCAGGTTCCTGTAGGGCCTCTAGTGGCCATAGAAGTGTTTGGGAAGAAACCCCTGCAATATGGGTATCAAAATTCATGAATTTACAGCAGGAGACTGTTCATCATATTTTCGTGGCTATCTGACAGATTGTCCCCGGAATGGGCTTGGATAGAATGCTCTTTATTTTTTGAAATTTAAAAAAGAAGCTTTTCTCACCATTTGAATGTATCTAACTAAATTTCCATGGAACGACCAATAGAACAAGTGAATAATCGTGCAATTTTATTTTTTTCTGGGGTTCAATAAACGTTGTGGATTAATGTTGTATGAAGTTTTTGCAGTCTCTGCTGTGCTAGAAATAAACTCACATTTCTCTGGTCTTTTAATCCTCATAAAACATTGTAAAAAAATTACAAGCACATAAAAAGCAAACGAAAAAAAAAAAAAAAAAAACAGTTGTCGCAAATTACTTGGCAGTGCTGATTGCACACAGGTCTTGAGCATGATTTACACATCGTCCTGGTCTTCCTACACTTGATGTCTTCACTTTTGCAGATATGACGGATGCCAACTTGTGGCGCCCGTCCTGACGGGTCCCGTTCAACTGGAGTAGAACCACCGACAAACCTTCATTAATTCTAATTGATACAAACTGTTAAAACCATAGGATTTTTTGATCTAGATAAAAATAATTTGTCCAGAATAGATCAAACACGAACCGATTTAAAACTTTTGCATGCGGGTTCATGGCTTAGCTAAATATTTCCCGCAAACACGGAGTCAGATGCAGGGTGGCCAGCAAACCGGGAATATCGGGAATTTGAAAAATAACCGGGAAAACCGGGAAAAACCCGGGAATTCGATGAGAGAACCGGGAAAAATAAATTAACCATACCATAGGAACAAATTTTTACACCAGAATTTCAGAATAGGCTGGTTCGTCTCTTATCAATATTTCAAATTGATTTTTGGAAGCAAATATTTGTAAAAACCGATACTGATTTATTATTTCCGGGATTTTAATTTTTCGTTACTCAAAATTCTCATGATATGACTTCTATAATAAATTTGGAATTCTGGTCTGAATTATCATGGATTTTTTTTTAATTAACCAGAAAACACTCCGCGTGATAATTACCGTTGAATTATTTTTGGAATTTCTTTGAAACCCCTTTTAAGAATTTGATTGGAATCCTTCTTAGAATTTGCTTGAACCTCGGCAACTTTGATTCTTTTGAAAAAAATTTCAAACATTTTTTTTACCTCTATTCAAAACAGCAGAAATCTTTCGAAATTTTATGTTTAAACCCCTTGGTGTATTTTAAAGAATGTCTTTATAATTATCAGCAAACAATCAATTTTGTTAGAGTTCTGTGATTAATTTTTCGCACTAGGGCTGAAATTATTGCCAGAACACTCTTAGAACTCTGTTTCTTGTTGAATTCTGATCATAATTCTCTTGGAATTCTTCTTAAAATTTATGTCATTTTCCTCACGATCCCCATGCAAATCTCCTCAGAATCACGTAGGAAGTTTACTTAAAGTTTTGTTTCTCACAACTCCTTTTGAAATCTTCTAAAATTACGTAACAATTTAATTTAGAACTTGCATTCTTCTCCACAGAAATTCCTCTAACAATTTTTAAGGACTTCATTTCAGAATAATTCTGGAATTCTGCTTCAAAAACTCTGTGGGAATCCTTCTCAATATTTGTTTGAAATCAACACTTTGAATTCTTTTAAATTTTACTAAAAATTCCAGGGTTTGTCCGCAAGATTCTATCGATTGTTCTGTAATTTTTTATAACCCTTAAAATTTTTCCAACTCTCAGAGCGTGACAATTATGAATCCACGACTCATAAGTATGATTTTATTTCAAATCTGTGATCTTCAAAAATTTTCAAAATCACTAAATATAATTATTTTTTCTCCAAATCTAGCATCACGAAGATTGTTATTAATCACAAATTTTGAAGAAAAGTTCTAATTTCAGACTCTACACAAATTTCATAACCCCATAATCTTGGGAATCTTTTTTTATTTTTTTTTATCCTTTCAGTAAATTCATTTCAGCACGTTTTTAAAAATGCGTTCAATTTCGTTTTTTGTTTAACATTAACAATCGGGAAATTTTTAAGATTTGAACCGGGAAAACCGGGAATTTCAAAATGAAAATTCACTGGCCACCCTGCAGATGTCAGTAGTGTGCTTTGGTCAGAAATTTTATTGTTTTTGCTATGGTCATTCATGTCGGTTTGTCGGTGGTAGAACTACCTGCACGCTTCGAAAAAATCATGTAAATTTAAGTGCTCTGAGACTGAAGGCCGGCACACAATGCATACGTTTTCGGGTTTTTTTTTTACAGATAATGCATGGGCTAGCTGTCAAAAAACCTGAAAACGTATCTATTGTGCGCCGGCCTTGACATATACGAGCGTCAATTTTGACATCGAATTCAGTCATAACAGACACGAAATTCAACTCAATCAAACGTACTTTTCGTCGAGTAACGAATTTTTCAGTCTGGGAGCACTCAATTTTACATGAAATATTTGTTCACGTCTTAAAGGATTATGTCAAAGATGGATTCCGTCACGCGGGCTTAAGGTGAAAAATAAAACACAGAAGAGTAACACGAGAAAAGGGCCTACAAGTTTTTCGCAAACAAACCTTCACATGCCATTGAGATTGCTGACGCTTATTGCACTAGTGTGCGTACATTTTGAGGTTAGTTATAGGAAAACATCGAGCAATTTCACTCGATATATTCGGATATATTCAGATGACGAAAGAATGGCATGGGGCATAGTTTCCTGTTGTAAATTCATGATTTTTGATACCCATATTATAGGGGTTTTTTTTCCAAACACTTCTATGACCACTAGAAGCCCTACAGGAGCCTGCGCCGGAATGACCGTACCGAGGACAATCCATCAAATGGCCACAAAATTATGATAAACGGTCTTCTGCTGCAAATTCATTAGTTTTAATACCCATATTGTAGAGGTTTCTTCCCAAACACTTCTATGGCCACAAGAGGCCCTACGGAAACCTACTCCGGAATGGCTTTTCCGGGGACAATCCATCGGATGATCACAAAATTATGATAAACAGTCTCCTGCTGTAAATTCATGAATTTTGATACCCACATTGTAGGGGTTTCTTCCCAAACACTTCTATGGCCACAAGAGGCCCTACGGAAACCTACTCCGGAATGGCTTTTCCGGGGACAATCCATCGGATGATCACAAAATTATGATAAACAGTCTCCTGCTGTAAATTCATGAATTTTGATACCCACATTGTAGGGGTTTCTTCCCAAACACTTCTATGGCCACAAGAGGCCCTACGGAAACCTACTCCGGAATGGCTTTTCCGGGGACAATCCATCGGATGATCACAAAATTATGATAAACAGTCTCCTGCTGTAAATTCATGAATTTTGATACCCCATTTTAGGGGTTTCTTCTCAAATACTTCTATAGCCACTAGAGGCCCTACGGGAACCTACTCCCGAATGGCCGGCCCTGAGACAATCCATCGGATGATCACAAAATTATGATAAACAGTTACTTACTTAAGGGTCCTGGGCACCACCAGCGGTGCAAAGGGCCAACGTGAAAGACTTCCATCCTGGGCGGCTGCTCGCTTTTGCCTTGACCTGGGCCCAGGTCAGATTCTTATCGACTTGCTTAATTTCCTTATTGAGGCTCCGCCGCCATGAGCCCCTGGGTCTGCCTCTGCTGCGATGTCCTGCCAGATTCCAATCCAGCGCTTGCTTGCAGATTTAGTTTCCGCCCCGTCGAAGTGTGTGGACTTCACTTTCGCACCTCCACTTTCGCTCTCGAATTTCTGTTGCTATCGGCTTCTGATGACATCGACGATGGAGCTCGGCATTCGAGATCCAGTTGTGAGGCCACCAGGCACGAATTATATACCGCAGGCATCGGTTGATAAAGACCACCAGCTTTTGAGTGTTCTCCGCTGATACACACCACGTCTTGCTGGCGTATAACAACACAGATTTCACGTTCGAGTTGAAAATTCGGATTTTCGTGCGTTGACTTATCTGGTTGGATCTCCATACGTTTCGTAAACTCGCAAAGGCAGCCCTAGCCTTCTTGATTCGTGCACCTATGTCGCTCTTGGTCTCGCCGTCCGACGCTATTTGGCTGTCAAGATATTGGAAACTTTCGACCTTCTCCACTGCTTGCCCCGCTACCGTAAAGTTGGAAGGGTTCCCGTGTTGATATCCAACGATTTGGTCTTGTTGACGTTGATGGTGAGACCCGCCGCAGAGGAGCGTTCGGCTAGGTCATTGAGCTTACTCTGCATATCAGAGCGCCGTTGTGCTAGTAGAGCAACATCATCAGCCAAATCGAAGTCGTTGAGATGCTCCAATTGCACCTACCATGATCTCGTCGATTACGATGAGAAACAGTAGTGGTGATAGTATACATCCTTGTCTCACGCCAGCGACTACTCGGATACGGTCGGACAAGGCTCCGTTATGCAGAACTCTGCACGTGAAAGCCTCATACTGCGCTTCGATGAGGTTGACGATTTTATCCGGGACTCCCTTGCGTCTCGGCGCCCCACAGATTCTCGTGATTGAGACGGTCGAAAGCTTGTTCGTAGTCAATGAATATCAAATAAAGGGACTCTTGGAATTCATTGACCTGCTCCAGAATGATGCGGAGCGTGACAATATGGTCCACACAAGATCTTCCGGCACGGAATCCTGCCTGCTGCCGTCGGAGAGTCGCGTCGATCTTCTCCTGTATCCGATTCAGGATAACTTTGCACAGAACTTTGAGAACAATACACAGTAACATGATGCCTCGCCAATTGTCGTACACAGTCAGATCCCCCTTCTTTGGGACCTTCACTAAGATGCCCTGCATCCAGTCGACCGGAAAAGTCGCGGTGTCCCAGATAATACAGAATAGTTGATGCAACATTTGTGCGGATAGCATGGGGTCAGCTTTGAGCATCTCTGCTGATATGCGATCGACCGCTGGAGCCTTGTTGGATTTCATGCTTCGGATAGCTGCTTCAATCTCCTGCAGTGATGGGGCCTCGGAATTGACGCGAGTGATGCGCCGCACCCTAGGCGGATCATGTCGAGATGTTGATGGCTGGTTGGCCGTCGAAACATGAAGAAGTTGTTCGAAGTGCTCAAACCAGCGTTTCAGCTGGTCAGTGGGGTCGGTAAGCAATTGTCCAGTCGTGTCCTTCACTGGCATCCTCGGGTTCATCCTTGCTCCACTCAGGCGTCGTGAGATATCGTAGAGGAGGCGTATATCGCCAGTGTTTGCGGCTTTCTCCCCTTCGTCGGCTAGAGAGTTCACCCACGCTCGCTTGTCCCGTCTGCAAGAGCGCTTGACTTCCTTCTCTAGAGCCGAGTACCGTTGACGGGCTTCGTTCTTGACTCCTCTGGTTCTCGCCCGCTCTATCGCGGTTTTTGTTTTTGTAGACTCCTCTATCTTCCGCCAGGTTTCATCTGTTTTTCTATAAAGGCATTCTTGATGGCCGTCCATTGTTCTTCTACGCTGCCACCTTCTGGAACGTCCGCAGCTCGAGTCTCAAGTTCTTCAACAAAAGACCTCCGAGTCTCTCCTCCCGTCGCTGGATCCGCGCCATGCGTAGGCGGATTTCGCCGATTAGAAGGAGATGGTCAGACGCGATGTCGGCGCTGCGTTTATTCCGGACATCAAGAAGGCTCCGTCTCCATTTTCGGCTGATGCAGATGTGGTCGATCTGATTTTCGGTATGTCCATCACGGGAAACCCACGTGATTTTGTGCACTGGCCGATGGGGGAAGAGCGAGCCCCCGATCACCATGTCGTTATTGCCACAAAATTCTGCAAACAGCTCACCGTTCTCGCTCATTTCGCCGAGACCATGACGTCCCATGACACGCTCATAGTCCGTGTTGTCGGAGCCGATCTTCGCATTGAAGTCGCCAGTGTAGATCTTGATGTCACCCTTTGGAACCTTATCCACGACGGCATTCAGTTGACTGTAAAAATTCTCCTTGTCCTGTAGCTCGGCAGCATCGGTTGGCGCATAACATTGGATTATGGTAAGGTTACGAACCCGTGTTCTAAATCTGGCAACGATTATCCTCTCATTAACAGGCTCCCACTTGATGAGCGCAGCACTTGCCTGGACGCTAAGTAGGAGACCAACTCCACGATGGCGGGGAGCGTTTTCACCTCGAATACCAGAGTATAGTAGTATCTGTCCCGACGGCAGTTTGTGTTCTCCAAAGTTTGGCCAACGAACTTCACTCAGTCCCAGGATTTCTAGCTTCATGCGTCGCGCCTCGTTGGCGAGTTGTGCCAGTTTACCCTGCTGGGCTAACGTCAATACATTCCATGATCCAATTCGTGTCCGTTGTTTTGCGCTAAAAGTCGTTGCCGTTAAATCAGTTCGATGTCTTTCTGTGTTGGTTTCTGTAACAATTGTAAAGGTTTCAGAGACAGTAGGTGGTTGGCCTAAGGTCTCCTATCCGCTGTGATGGGGCTGCCATCTTAGGTGTAGCTTCCGGGGAAGAGCATTTCTTATTCAGCCGCTGGATGCCAGTCAGACGCTGTTTGAGCCGCACCTCCATGGTGAACAGACGCTCGGGTTGGCGAAGCATTTCCTCTATCACCGTGCTATGATTACCGCGCCAATGTCCGCGTCGCACCTCCTCACTCTGCTATTGTCGGATTGACAACATTGCCCAGGCTACGCCAACCAGCTGTGTCCATGTTTCAGCTGGCAGTCTTTTGTGATCATATGACTCGTGGAGGCGTGAGGTAGGAACTTGTGAGGACCGGAGCTAGGTATATCGCTCCTTCCAGATTGTCACTCACCATTTTGTAGCCCATAATAAATCTATGGTCGGGCTCAAAATGATTAAGCACAATCTTATTTAGGCCTACGTTCATCTTGCTAAGGAGTAGAACAAGAAGTTTTTGTTCTAAATAGAGCATTCATCATTAGTTTCTTGAGATGCCAATATTTTTAATGGTTTTATAGAAGTAGCAATGTCAACAAATTTATTGTTGGTATAATTTAATGGTGGAAAGCTATACAAACTATCCAGGATCTTCCAAAACTGCGGAGAACGCAAGCACGCTCATGTAATCACAAGAGTAAAGACGTCAAACGCAACGTGGCCATCAAAGCAACACTGGTAGTTCTTAGTGGGACTTACATGCGTAGAATTTCCTACTTCAGTGCAAATTTCTAAGCATAACAGTCCCATTAAATATTGTTCGTATAAAAATAGGCTTAACTGATTTTATTAAAATGTGAACAATGCGCTAGCTTATTTTATTGTATATTTCCTCCAATGAGCAGAAATGATTCGAAACATTATTCGTGATTTTCTCAGAAGCAACTTTTAAAACATGAGACTGATTTAATTCCCTTCAAAGAAATCGATCTTCTTGAATCAATTAATCAACGATCCTAGAAGGCCACACACTGATTCTTCTCCAAACCCAGAGCAACTTTTATTTACTTACCTACTGTTCTTGATTCTAAATCCTTCGATGAAACTTGACCTGCTGTCAACTATGTTCGTCGCGTCTCACACTATAGATCTCACTAGATCTTGTTCCACTTGGTCTAACCACCTGGCTCACAGCGCTTCTCTGCGTCTTGTACCAGCCGGAATCGAGAAAAACAACAACTTTCCCGAAATCTACCGCCCTTCCTGATTTAGCGACTTCCTGGGAACTGGGTGTCCATTGTAAGCACGATTTCCGATTATCTCCAAATTTCTCTGCTGCAGTTGTTATCCGACGCCACAAATGCCTCCGCCACCTCGAACTTATACTATCTCTTTATCTCATCGTATCCCATGCATCATGTGAGAATATCTGAGAGATAGGATTTGAATTGATGAACAGTTTGAGATCTTCAAAAAATATCCAGTCGACTTTATGGAGATCTTAGTCCCAAACGGAATTTCATAACGTTCAAAAAAATCAACAAATGATTAAGTAAGCGGAAAGTTCGCCTAATTTAAGATTTAAGCAGGGGGCCCTAATTGGTTTTATCTTTACCTCATAGTCTCTTCCTATCTTTCTATCTCTGTCTCGCTTTCAGATGGAAGGTGACGTACGTTCGAGTTCTAGTGACGAACTTTCTGACAGTTCAGAAAATGCCCGTCCCGTCGTGGCCAACGGCACGCCAAAGAAGCAACATCGGCCTTCTCCTAGCAAAGCGGCCGGCTCGAACCCGTCGTCACCGAAGAAGTAAGCAAACACTATCACACATCCTTACCAACCTTGGCAACGGCTAATTTTAACACTGCAGCTGTGCTATCTTCACGTTTTACGGTTTACCTAAATTAAAGAAAATAAAATAAACTAAAAAGCGAAGAAACGCGTGTTTGTGTTGTGGTGCGTGGTGCAGATCTCTAGTTAAAAGCAAGTGTTTTACGGGAACTAGCTAAATAGTTGGAAAAGAAAAAGTAATTTGTTGATGATCGAAACTATAAACAAAGCAACTAGAGAATTATTGTGAATGGCAAGAATTAAAATTGAGGAAACTGTTGCAGCAAAAATGTCTAAAAAAAACTACTGGAGAAATATTTTAGATCCGTCTTTTGCTATGATATATATTTATTAATTTAGTAAAAGGAAATAAGATATGTAGTGGAACCGAAGATGGAAGCTATTTTATTCGGTATTATCCCCCCGTGGGCATGGATCACGGCTAAAGCTTATTCGAGGTAATCTCTTTAGATAGAGAATTAACAATAACGGAAGAACGAAAGAAAATAGGAGAGAAAATAAAGAGTAGCAAACGGAGAAAAGACTTGGTAAGAGTGTCCTAGACTAATCAACAGAACTACCATTGTTATCTTTCACTTTTACAAAACATTCCCGGTCCCGGATGTTAGTTTTCATAAATGTACAGATGTAAGCAAAGTTTTTTTTTTTTTTTTTGGGAATGTATTACATTTTCTCGGACTTGTGGAAAATGTGCTTGCTCCACAGGTTCCACCGCTGTTCAACCGGCAAAAATACTCTTCGATCAAATATCACGCTTTGGGCTTAGTACTGGCAACGCAGAATTGAAATCAAACCCGAAAACGTACCGAACAATCAGAAATTTGCTTGTTTTAGAAACAATAGATGGCAGTTGAAAGTATAGCAACAGCGTTTAAAACACACTCCATTTTTCATCGTCCTTCCTTTTTAAGATAGTTTAAATAATTTATCCCTCCGGGGGTAAATATAAATATATATTTATGTTCGAATGAACAGTAACACAAACACACGCATACATACAAGGATGCCTTTTCAATCGATTATAATGCCTTCTTTATAGGGGAAATGGCTCTAATGTTGGCCTATGGATCTACACATCAAGATTATTTTATCGAAATCTCAACAGCTGAACGTTCGGTGATTTTTCACAGGATTTCTGGGATTTTTCACATATATTCGTTGAAAAATTACAGGAAATCTGTGACAAATCTCCGAACTGTTTACCGAACGTTCAGCTGTTAAGATTTCGGTAACATAATCTTAGTGTGTAAGATTGGGCCCATCACTAAAAATCGGTTATTTATCAATTTTATCTAGATGAACGCGTCAATGGGACGGTACTAATGTTTTTAGTCGCTATTGAAAATTTAGCCCAAATAAGGGGCATTTAGGCCGACATTACATCCATTTCCCCTACATGTTGCTTTTCCGTTTTGTTTGTTAATTTTGCCTCAGCTAATCAAAGCTACGTCACATATTTTAATTACCTTCCAAAGATAAAAAAAAAAGAAATCATACTAGGAATCGTTTAGGATAAGATTTGAGAGAAAAAAACATGCCGGAAGAGAGGATAGAAAAAGGTACGTGAAACCAATCGCGTCTTCGACAGTAATCGAGTATGAATAGTTTTAAGTCATGAAAACTTGTTTTTCAAAGTACCATCCTAGTGACTAATGGTTAGGACTTTGCATAATCATAAGTGTTAGGTAAAACTTTGGAATATACGCATAAAATAAGAAATGAGGTCGATTGTCGGCTGCGAGGATTATCTGCAGCAGGTGCATTGTAGCAGCTGTATTGATTCTGCATTCAAGCATTTAGGGTTACCCTCTCGGTGGTCCAAGTTGATTTGAGGTTAGTTTGCCGTTTACCAAGCTTTCATGAATCGTTTTTGTTACACTCATTAACATTAAATTAGAGCTCTTCTTTTGGATCGTTTTCGCTTTTTGTTTGTCGTTTGACGCATATTGACACACACACACACATACACACACACACACACACACACACACACACACACACACACACACACACACACATACACACTTATATTTTGTACATTTATTGCTAAAAAATTGTCACAAATTTAGGTAACGTTCCAGCTAAAATGTTGTTTGAGAAAAGGATTTCAAAAGTGATTAATCTTATAAAAACAATTCACATAATGCGAAAAAAAAAGGGGGACCAATCGATTCAATTTTGATGACATCCATGTTCTAATATTCTTGTTGTTGATTCCAATCTACGTACCTTAACCGCCGGTTAGCTATCTCGTAGCTGGGAATTTGTACACCTTCGAGATCAGTTTCTGGAAATGATTTTCTAAGGTGGGAGTATCCAGTTTCTGCATCGTACGAGCCTCTTCTCTATCCGCTGGACTCCGTTTGTCCAGCACATCGATCCTGTGTCAACCTTCTACCTTAATTTTGCATGGAAATCCTCGTCCACACCATTACTGCTTGTGAGACAGAATGTCACAGTCTTCAGCAAAATTGGGTTTTTTATGTAATAACATACCATGTCTAAAAAGAAACTCAAATGGATGATTGAAGAAATACCGATTTTAAAACCATAATTACACTGAAAATCTCAACAGCATGAGCATCATTGACCGCCCACGGTTGCTACTCTGTTATTGCCAGACCAGCTGTAATTACACAGAGAACCAATAGACGATGCTTGGAACTAGCAATCATCCTCAATGTGTAAAAACTGGTGATCTCAAACTAGGCAATACCAGCGCCGGCCGCGCCCGATCACAGGTCAAGAAAGGAAGGGGTAGGAATGTGCTGACGTGACACTCGCTTTGATGGGAGCCGAGAACACCTCTGCACTTCCACGAGGAATCACTGGGATATTGGGTAATAGGGTTGAGTTTGCAGCAGGGTTCGTTTTGGTAAACGATAAGCTGAATTAATGTCTTAACAATCATATAACGCGAAGGAGCTTGGGATTGAACCCACGATCTTCTGCTCAGTAAGCAAAAACGTTTGCCACTAGGCAGACGAGCTCCTTTTTTATCATCGAGTTGCTGTTGTTATCATGTAGTAATGTTAACAAATAAAACTATTGACGAATCTTGAATGTGGATGGGCTTGAGATTAGACTAATGATGATCTGCTCAGTAAGCAAAACCGGTTGCTCTAAGGCCACCGAGCCCCTCATATCACATTATAGCTCTACTCAAGTTTTTATGACTATTCAGACCGGGCACCGACGACAACGAAAAGTTTTACGAAATACACGATAAACAAGCGATCTAACCATACATTTTTTAATATGAAAGGATCTGGGACCGCGTTTTTCTGCTCAGTAAGCAAGCCACTGCAACCGACGATCTTTGAAATCCTTAAACTAAAAGCTATGAAAGAGGCCTTCATTAAGATCCATTTTCACGCGACGTTAAATGTTTCGATTTTCTCTTTACGCATGGTTCAGGTAATCATAACAAGCTATGACCGACGTGACGATTGTTTAATACCTGGATGAACAAGCTATTCAAATGAAATTACGTTCTCGAATTTTACTTGACATGTAATGAACAACAGAAATACGCGATAATTCATATTTTCAGCGGTTGGTGGTTAATTTTAAATATACTAACGGTACTGCCTACGACTACGACGGCGATTACGACAGCGACTACGACGGCGCCTACGACAACGACAACAGCGAATTTGTAACTTACCATTTGTCTAGGATAAACACCTTTGCCCGGCACCTCCACTGGTTCTTCATGTCCGCTATCTGTCACTGTTTGCAAAATATCTAATAGCAATTACCTTCCAATACCAATACTTCCTGTATTGCCATGGTCGTCTGGGAGGAGGGTCGCATCTAGTGCTTTCCCCAGGAACCGTTCACGGCCACCAGCTACTGCCCGTCCAGTCTTGGGCGTATCCAGCGAGGCATCCTTCAGATTACTTACAATCTCCGACACTCAATGCAAATCGCAGGCACACTTACGCTAGTTACAAAAAAAAAACACACCCGTGCAAAGAAACAGATCAAATAAACGTCACTCTCGCGAAAGCACACCCGTCGTCGTCGAACGGCAAAAAAAAAGGAATCGGTGGGCAATTTTGTGATACGGATTTCCAAAATCAACCGGGAATGCACGAATATCACCACACCCAATTACGAAACACGTTCAGAAGCACTTTTGGTACACTTTCGTTTGAAAACACTTAATTTTTTTTTTTCAAAAATAGTTGCGAGTGAACCAACATCATACCCGCTTAAATAAATAAAAATTATCGCTCGCGATGCCACAAATTTCTGGACCGCCGAAGTGGGCGACTCTATATACGATACAGGAAAAATTGTGTTTTGCACTGGTTAGCTCCGCGCACGCTGAGTATATAGAAAGAAGATTGATGACAATTCTGAAGATTTCTTGCAAAAAGATGATGCACGATACAAGTAGATGGAAGAAATGAAAGAAGATTTTTCGAATATTGATTCGCTAGTGTGAGATTTGTTGAGCATCTAGAATTGAGATTTAGATGTGTCGCTGTAAAAAAAAAAATTAGATTTTATTTTTAAACCGAAAAATCGCCTCCGAAATTTTTAATGCTCCATAATCGCAGCAGAACGTCAAAGTTTGTTTTAAAATTGACATAATTTTTTGAAGTCCGAAACTTTAAATATTTTTTCGAAAGGCACTAGGCCAAGCGCTGGTAAGCTAAATGAGGCATTGGTCCGAGTGTTATAAAGTAATAGATTGATGTAAGGAATTTTTTAACGATTACATGAGAAAATTTAAGGCAGGTTAGTTTTTTACTCTGCGGAATTTCACACTAAAAACACTTAAATTTTTAAATGGGATTATTTTAAAGATTCCGGATTGAACTTAAAGCATAAATCTTGAGCTAAGATAAAAAGATTTTTACCACTCATAACTCTGTCAACCGATGGTTTTTAATTCTGAACAAGCCAATCGATTGGACATTTTTCTACGAATCTGCTAAAATGAACACTTCATCAATTTTCAATTGGTCACTATTGAAAATTACACAAATGTCCAACTGTTGCAAACCATCACCGTGTGTGGTTGGTGTCCGGTTGGTCGTCATCAGCAGCAGTGGTTCTCCAGTACAAAAAGAAAACCTGCCCGCAAGCAGCGAGCTGCAGCCCACATAATTACACTGAAAATCTCAACATTTGATTAACTCCTATGTAGTAATTAACAATTGCTCATCCACTCTTATTGCACCGAAATGTTCATCAAAATATGTCGTATCTCATAACGGTATTATATTTGCCCCATTTTGTGATTTGACTTCTGCAAAACATCATGTTTTGGAGAAATAAACTTTTGTGTATTACTCGATTGCGTATTGCTCCCTGCGCTTTGATCAGAGAGCGTATTTCGCGTATGAGAGGGTGATTGCAGTTTGTTCAAAAGTGCATAAGTAAAATGCAAGTACTTTCGATGATTACCCGTAGTTACGATAGTGAAGATGTATACCCATATTCTCGTTTATGTCCGGGCGTGAAACCTTTTTATTTGATTGTGTGTGAGGTATGGGTTTTGGGTAGAGGTGGGCAAAACAGCTCATCTGGCTGAGTGGATCAAACCCATCCAGCTCACTAAAGGGAGTCGATTCTTTTGAACAGCTCTTCAGCTCACATTGAAATTATAGAAATTATGACACAAATTCAATATCGGAAAATTAATGAGTGGTTTAAGTGCTTAAAACTGCATAAAACCGTTAAAGTAGTCTAACCCAATAAATCCGTACCTTACAATATCAGGCGTAACATTTGATAACGGCACAAAAGCATTTGTAAACAAAATTTCTAAGGCCCATTACGCGCTAACCAAAGTACGCCCACGCAAACCAATACCACTTTCGGAAAGGTGAGAGTTGCCCCTATCCGATGACGATGTTGGTTTGCGTGAGCGTACTTCGGTTCGCGTGTAAAGGGCCTTAAAAAGTGTGTTTACAAAAGCTTTTGTGTCGTTATCAAATGCTACGCCTGATATGGCTCTACTTTTCAATGGAAAACGCCACTAACGCAACAACTTGTCAACCATCGCGTAAAACAAAATGTGTGTGTGTGTGTGTGTCATCCTCTATCCCTCACCCAGCCGGGGGCGTTGGACAAGTAGAACTGCGAATAATTTGATCAAATCTCATGCTCCGTAATGGTGCCATAGAGGTAACTCTAAGACTAGAAGGTCCCGAAATAACGTGCTCAACTTTTTGGCTCAGCTCTGGTACTCTCTTCGGTCCCAAGCTAATCGATTCACCACTCGAAACATAGGAAAAACCAATAACCCCTCATTTTATCTGTCAAACTTTCATAGCGAATCAAAACAAACATTGCGTAGTACTAGAATTTCGACTAGAATAGGGTACGTTAATCGTTTGCTTGGGACCAATAGGCTACTAAAGTGGTGAGCCAATTTAAATCGTTAGTTTCTTATTGATTGTTGATGGTGCCCTTTATGTTGTGAAAACTAGTACTTCAAAAAGGGTAACTTCTGAGGCAAGACAGGGTGTCCTCAACAAGTTAAGGGAACAGGATGCACTAAATGTCCACAACAGGTACAGCAAAACATCACATAGACGCCCTTATTCACACTAACTACTCAGGGGGTAGAAGGTCAAGAAGAGCCACCGCCGCCAACAGATTTTATTTGTGATGTTAATTCTCCAGCAGAATTTCTCTCACTATTCTCGGCTTCAACTCCAAACCATCAGCTCAGATCCGTATCCGGAGCTGAATCGTGAAGAATCGAGAGAGAAAAAAAGAACCGAAGAGCTGGACTGGTTCGAGAGCTGGACGGGTCCGAGAGTTGTCAACCTAAACAGCTCCCAGTGAATAATTCGAGTAGATGATTCGGATCCGGAGCTGAGCTGATAAGCTGGAGAGCTGCATTTCGCATTTCGGTTATTTGCTTCTGTGCGGATCTTCCGCTCCCCCAGTGAACGATGGGAGGAGAGGTGAGAGCACAGATGCTGGAGGAATAGCATCAGCAATAAGAGCCGGGTACATAAATAAATTGGATAATACCTGTAGACAATTAACATCGTATAGCACATGTGCATATGTATCTCTCTTTGTCCCAAACAGCCGCTTGGAAGTTTTCTTTGTTTTTTCCTCTGTTCGGGACCTAACACTCCTGCGACCAGTAAATTGATCTATTGTAGTATATCCCGTGT